ACGTGAGACCTCATATAATTTCTTATATAAAATAAAATACCTCATTTGGGGTCTTATATTTAATAAGACGCCTTATAGGAGGTGTTCTAAAAATCTGAGAACTCAACAAATGTCTTATACAAGATATAAGACCTCAAAAGAGGACTTATACAATATATAAGACTTATAGGAAGTCTTATACAAAATATAAGACTTATAGGAAGTCTTATACAAAATATAAGACTTATAGCAAGTCTTATACAAGATCTTAGAGCTCATAGGAAGTCTTATACAAGATATAAGACCTCATAGGAATTCTTATACAAGATATAAGACCTCATAGGATTTCTTATACAAGATATAAGACATAGTAGGAAGTCTTATACAAGATATAAGACATAGTACGAAGTCTTATACAAGATATAAGACATAGTACGAAGTCTTATACAAGATATAAGACATAGTAGGAAGTCTTAAACAAAATATAAGACCTCATAGTAAGTCTTATACACGATCTAAGAGCTCAAAGGAACTCTTCCACAAGATATAAGACATAATAGGAAGTCTTATACAGGACATACGACCTCATATGAGGTCTTATACAAAATATAAAATCTCATATGAGGTCTTATATACCATCGGATGACTTATCCAACATACTAAACTTCTTATAAGACCTCTTATAACGACTTATATAAAATATCAGACTTATATCAGGTCTTATATTGCATTAAAGAGGTCTTCTTATTCCTAAGACATCTCATATGATGTAATTAATTCGATATGAAACATTCTATGAGGTCTTATATTCTGCAGCTTACTCTTCTTCTGAGTCCATTCTGTTCCTTTACTTCATATCCACAAGTGTACCAAAAAAAGTACCCCAACCGAAAACCTCCCATCTCTGAACAATAATCACTCAGCTCTCATATCAGCAAACGACCTTATACTAAATTCGCACTCTCTCTCGCTCACTCCACCTCTCGCTTTTCTCATTCCAATACGAAGTGGGATGAGAAGTGAAAACAAAAACAAATGCCATATTTGTTTATAACTTCGTATCAGAAAACAAGAAAAAAAAAACGAAGTCATAAGAAATATACGATGGGAAAAAATTGGCAATCTATCACTCTCATAATTCAAGCACACACAGAGAAACACACATCATTGTCGGTCGGCTAGCACTTGTCGAATTTCCTAGAAGCCGTCGAATGGTCGTAGTAACCATTGAGACGACGACAACAATTCAGCGAAGCATTCGAAACGACATTGCATTCGACAATTTATTGCCAACCAACCAGCCAAGCTAACAACCCACCATCTCGAGTTATTCCATACCTCAATGAACGTCCGACCCATCGACCACCATCCACGAATTGCTACTTTTGGCCATGTGAATTTTCGAGCAGCACCACCATTGACGACGTCGCCGCCAAACAAACCGAACGAAAAAATGAAGCAAAGACAACTACGCAACTACTTTTTTTTTGCTGATGGCGATGGCTCTTAACTTTCCGTAGGTGTTGTGGGAACCAATCAATTGTTGGTAGGTTGTACACACACACATACATACACCTCTGCAATAAAAAGTGAAAAAAGAAATAATAACATTCGTACGTAATTAGACGACAGAGACTCCGACTTCGATACCGACACCGAAGACGACAACGATTTGCAATTATTTTTATTGATTGATATTTTTAGATGTGAGATTTTTTTGCGGCAACCTGATTTCAGAGAAAGAGAGAGTTGCCAAGAGAGAAGAGAGAGAGTATGTATGTACGTAAATGCGTGTGAACCGCAGGAGTTGTATGTGTTAAAAATACTACAATGAAAAAAACCGATGATATACACGTGTTCGTTACATGAATGAAATAGACGGAACTTATTGGCTATTGCTTCGGAATGGATATGGTGCGATATTTTAAATAAAAAAATATTACAGCTTTTGACAATTAATTTTTGTTCTCAATAAAAAAAACTGGCATGTCGAATCTCAGAATTAGTGAATAATCGACATGAGATCTTACATAGAACATAAGACCTTATAGAAGGATTTACATACAATATGAGACCTCATATGAAGTCTTATATAACATTTGACACCTTTTATGTGGTCTTATACTAGATATGGCACCCCCTATAAGGACTTATGTGAAATATGAGATCTCATATGAGGTCTTATACAACATATGAGACCTTATATGAGGTCTTATACAACATATGACACCTCCTAAGAGGTCTTATACAACTTATGAGACTTCATATTAGGTCTTATACAACTTATGAGACTTCATATTAGGTCTTATACAAAATATGAGACTTTATATCAGGTCTTATACAACATATGAGACCGTATTTGAAGTTTTATAAACCCTATGAGACCTCACATCAGGTCTTATACAATATATAAGACCTCATATGAAGTCTTTTACAAAATATGAGACCTCATATGAGATTTTATACAACATATAAGACCAAATATTAGATCTTATACAATATATGAGATCTTATACAATATATGAGACCTAATATTAAACCTGGGTTAGGGACAAATACAAATTATTTGAACTAGTTCGAAGTCTTATAAAAAAGACCACTTATGAGGATATATATAACATATGCGACCTCATATAATAACTTATACAACATATATGAACTCATATGAGGTCTTATACCTTATATGACGCCTCATATGAGGTCTTATACAACATATGATACCTCATATGTGGTCTTATACAAAATATGAGGCCTCCAATGAGGTCTTCTACAATATATTAGACCTCCAACGAGGTCTTATACAACTTATGAGACCTCATATGAGGTCTTATATAACATATGATAACTCATATGAGGTCTTATACAAAGTATGAGACTTTATACGAGGTCTTATAACACATTTCAGACCTCATATTTGGTCTTATACAACATATGAAACCTCATATGAGGTCTTATACAAAATATGAGACCTCCAATGAGGTCTTCTACAACATATGAGACCTCCTACGAGGTCTTATACAACATATGAGACCTCATGTGAGGTCTTATATAACATATGAGAACTCATATGAGGTCTTATACAAAGTATGAGACTTTATACGAGGTCTTATACCACATTTCAGACTTCATATTTGGTCTTATACATCATATGAGACCTCATATGTGGTCTTATACAGAATATGAGACCTCCAATGAGGTCTTATACAAGATATTAAACCTCATATGAGGTCCTATACAAGATATTAGACCAGATATGAGGTCTTATACAAGATATTAGACCACTTATGAGGTCTTATAAAAAATATTTGACCTCATTTGAGGTCTTATACAATATATTAGACCTCATACGATTTCGTATACAACATATGAGACCTCATATTATACTTCATTTTAGGTCTTATACAACATATTATACCTCATATTAGGTCTTATAAGACATATAAGATCTCATATAAGTTCTTATAAAAAATATGAGACCTCATATGAGGTCTTATACAAATTTTAAAGACCTCATACTAAGTCTTATACAGCATATAAGACCCCCTATGAGTTCTTTTACAATATATGAGACCTAGTTCGAGGTCTTATACAACATATGAGTTTGACCCCGAACCAAAATTGTTATTTACAGCAAAATCTGATCCTCATGACCCAAGGGTAGTTTTCTTACCCGTGAAAATATCCCCAAGACCTAATTTTTATTCTATAAGAAAATAACGAGCCTCAGGGTAGATATTCAAGACTAAATATCTGAGGATATTTTTCGAAGATCAAATCGATACTAAGGACCTGAGACGACTCACAGGTTCGGATGAGGTTCCAATAAAAACCTTAGCTGAGCTTAGGGATTTATTTATGTAGGAAAAAATTTATCCTCACAACCTAGAAATAAATCTAGGGGAAAAATCGATCCTCAGGATGTAAAAAATTTCCTCTTTATAACAACATAACGACACTTTGATCTGAGATTTTCCCCATTCAACAAAAAAAAATTGATCCTCAGGATCTACGGATTTTTAGAAGGAAAAATAAGCTATCGACAGGTTCGGGTGAGGTTCTGTTTGAAGAAAAATATAAGAAAAAATCCGATCCTATGAGCCTGAGAAATGATGATTTAGGAAAACAGTCGATCCTTAGGACCTGAGGATCTATTGGAAATAATCGACAATCAGAACCAGCGGAGTTTCTTCCATAGGAAATAATCGACCAATCGAGCGTTGAGAATTTTTTTCTTTATGAAATAATGGATTTAATAATTTCGATAACTAAATTTATCGATAATTATCGATTTACGAATTTCGATAACTGAATTTATCGATAATTTTTTATTGAATTTTCTAAAGGAAATTAAAATGATAATATTCAAAAATTTCGATAACTGAATTTATCGATTTAATCATTTTAATTTTATCGATAATTATCGACTTCATATTTTCTATTCAGTTATCGAAAATATTGGTATTTTTTATTGAATTTTCTTAAGAAAATTAAATCGATAAAGTTTAATAACTTCGATAACTGAATTTATCGATTTAATAATTTCGATTTTATCGATATATTTCGATTAAATATTTTCGATAACTGAATATATCGACATTTTTTAAGATTTTTTTTATTTCTTAAGAAAATTCAAACGATAATTTATCAATTTAATAATTCCGATAACTTAATTTTTTGATTAATTAATTTCGATAACTGAATTTATCGATCATTTTTTTTATTGAATTTTCCTAAGGAAATTAAAACGATAATATTTAGATATTATATAACTCAATTTTCCAATAATTATCGATTTAAAAAATTCGATAACTGAGTTTATCGATAATTATCGATTGCAAAAAAAAACTTTTTCAATAAATCCTTCAAAAAATAATTCGTTTACCTGTAATAAAAATTTCGATAACAAATTTATCGATTTCTATTGTTTTAATTTCGATAACACGACTTATCGATAATAATCGATTTTAATTCCTATTATTTTTTTTTTCAAAAAAAAAATCAATTTTTCATTTCAAACTCACCTCTTTTGTATATTATCCGTCTGATCGCGATACAAATTCGGACTGCTGCCATGCCGCTGATGTTTGTACGAGGCTAAAGCTATCTGTGAGGCTAACTTAGAGGCTGTCACCAGATCTTCACGACTTTTGCTTAAACTCTGCATATTCGCTGAAGTGGTGCGACAACGACGACGATGTTGCTTCCGCAGATGATGATGAAAAACGATTGACGACGACGAAAATCATCAAACCTAAGATGGGGTCATTTAATGGGAAAAATGGGCTGGCACTTAGGTTAGGTTTCGTCGCATCGTGGATGTCAGTAGATTGGCGGAACTTTGTTCAGAATCGTATTAACTGGAAGAAAAAAGAGAAAAAGGCTAATTAATAAAAATTATGATAAAAAAATCCGATATCGATTAGATTCGATAAACTTCTGAAATTTATCGAAATTTGGTTAAATATTCAGAATTCGAAAATAATGAATTCGAGGAGGGACTACCAATCCATCCGCCTACATGTAGAATTTTTTTAAGCGAAAATATACATATGTTATCGAAATTTATCGATATATTTCCCTTATCGAAGTATGTGAACCCTACTTCTTTAAAACTGTCCCCATTATTTATTTTCGATAGAATTTGTTGACATTTTTTTGTTTTGGAATTTTTGAAATAATCTGCATTTTTTTCTCCCCAAAATGTCGTAAGTATCCGTCTGGTCCTCTTCAGATCCCCAATAAAAACCATTCCCCTTTCTGCTTAGTGACATTGAAGTACCCTCGAAAAGTACCCTCGCTGGCAGATTCTGCAAATACCATTGGAAGGGTGTCCTTGCCGTGGTCATACCCTTGGCCTTTAGTCCCTTGCTGTTTTATTTCCCTGATAGAGCCGTAAGAAGGCAAAGGTGATTTTCTTTGCGGAATCTTGAATTATTGAATTATCGATTTTTTCAGGAATTCCGCTGCATGTTCCTAATATTGATCTGCTGCTTCTATTGGATCACAGAATGTATCCCGTTGTATGTTACCTCGCTGATGCCGATTTTCGCCCTGCCGGCAATGCAGATTTTGGTATGAATTTTCTTATAAAGGGGGAAAATTTGATTCCCCGGATCAAAAATCGATCCTGAGGTTCTAAGAACTTTTTTCGAATGGAAAAAATCGGAAATAATTCGATTTTCGAGGACTATTTTTTTTCCTCAGGACCTAAGGAATTTTTTCTAAAAAATTCTCGGGACCTGGTAGATCCTCAGGGCCTGACCATTTTATTTAAAGTGTCAGAATTTTTTCCTACAGGAACTGCAGATTTTTTTGCATAAAAAATAATTGATACTCTTAACCTTAGGATCCTCAAGACCTAAAGAATTTTATTCCATTGGAAAAAATCGATCCTCAGGAGGTCCAGAATTTTTTTTATATGAGAAAATCGAACCTAAGGACCAATTTATTCCAATGGAAAAAAAAATCGATACTAAGGACCTGAAAATTTTTCGATAGGAAAAAAGATTCTCCGTACGTTTTTCAAAGGAAAAGGAGGGTCCTCAGACTGGAGATTTTTTTCTATAGGAAAACATCAATTATCAGGACTTGAAGGTCCTCAGAGCTTGAGGAGTTTTTTAATTTTCAGTAACTGATAATAGGGACTATTCGATTCTCAGGACCTGAGAATCGTTCTCATAGGATAAAAATGATTTTCATGATTTGAACGATCTTCAGGATGTTCAGGATCTGAGAACTAATTTTCTCCTAATAAACGAAATTCGTGACCTTAGGATCTTTTCTATTGAAAAAATCGATCCCCAGGACCTGAAGATATTTTCCTTAGGAAGATTGATTCTGAGGACCTGAGATTTTTTCATAAAAAATCAGTCCTCAGGACCTGAGAATTTTTTCTTCAGACCAGAGGATTTTATATCATACAATATCGGTCCTCAGGACCTGATAATTTTTTTCCATAAAATATCGGTCTTCCGGACCTCAGGATTTTTTCCATAAAAATCGGTCTTCAGGACCTCAATTTTTTCATTGGAGGAATTCAATCCTGGGTCTGAGGATCTTTTCCCATTGGGAAAAGTCGATACTCAGATTATTATTTTTAAGGTCATTAATATATCCCCTGGACCTCAGGTTTTTTTTTAACAAAATCGATATTCATATTCCGAATATTTTTTAAGAATCTGCATTTTTTTCCATCGGACGATTGGTCCCTAGGACCCCAGGATATTCTTAAGGATTTCTCCTATATAAAAACTAATCGAACCTCAGGACCTGAAGATTTTTTCTATAGAATAAATTGATCCTTAGGTCCGGAGAATTTTTTCAAGAAGAAAATCGATCCTCAGTACCTGAGCATATTTTACATAGGAATAAATTCATCCTCTGGACCTGCAGATTTTCTCGACAGAAGCACATCGATTCTCAGGACCTGAGAATTATTTTCATCGAAAAAGTCGATCTTCTAAATCTGATCATTATTTACTTAACGGAAACATTTATCCCTTTTTTCCGATATAAAAAATCCATCCTCAGGTCCTAAGAATTTTCCTGTGGGAAAATTTGCTTCATAGGACCTAAGAATTGTTTTTCTATTCCAAAAATCCATCCTAAGGACCTGCGAATTTTTTTCCGATAGGAAAAACTAGAACCTCAGGATCGGAGAATTTTTCTTCTGTAGAAAAAAATTGATACTCCGGACCTAAGGATTTTACCCTGAGGATTTTTCTGAAGAAAAAAATCTCCTCCATTTTTCCACAGAGCTCCGAGAGGACCTGCCAAAATTATTTCAAGGACACTTTGGCTATGTTTTTGGGTAGTCTGATTGTGGCCTCGGCCATTGAGTATTGTAATCTGCACAAGAGGTTGGCCTTGAAGACAATTCTGCTGGTGGGATGTAGTCCCAGGAGGTAAACCTGAACCGAAAGTGTTCCCCTATCTCTTCTGATATAAAAATCCCTTTCAGATTGCACATTGGTCTGATTTGTGTCACTAGTTTCATATCGATGTGGATATCAAATTCCGCCACCACGGCCATGATGTGTCCGATTGTTAAGGCGGTGCTGCAGGAATTGGAGACGGTAAGGCAGTAGATCGATCTATTGAATCCGATTCAAAAATCTTTTTTTTTTTCAAAATTCAGAATCAAGTCCTTGAAATTTGGATGCCCGAGGATAAAGAACCCCCGATAGAGGGCAAAAAACACCCTTCCCGTATTTCCATGGCGTTCTACTTTGGCATTGCTTATGCCTCGACAATAGGTGGCTGTGGCACACTGATCGGAACGGGTACGAATTTAACATTTAAAGGGCTATTTGAAGGGTGAGTATGGTTACGGAACCGTTGGATAACCTTTAATTATCCTCTTCTGATTTCCAGCCGATTTCCCGATGCAACGGATAAAATTGATTTCCCCCATTTCCTCGGCTGGGCCTTGCCTATGGTGATAGTGGATACGGTGCTGTTATTTCTTAGTTTGCAAATAACCCACTTAGGCCTGGGGCGTCCTGATAGCCCCACAGCCCAAGAGGTATCACGTGGCGCCCAAGCAGCTGCCACAGTAAGGGCTGCCGTCATGGAAAAATATTCCGAATTGGGGCCAATGTCACGGCACGAATGTCAGGTGTTGTTTTGGTTTTTGGCCATGATTGCTTTGCTGTTTACCCGTTCGCCGGGTTTTATGCCCGGTTGGGCGGATTTTTTCAACGCAGTGTAGGGTGATCAAAATTTGGAAATATTTTTGTGGGGAATTTATATTTGGTTTCTCTTTTGCAGGGAAATTAAAACCTCCGGTGCGGTTATGCTAACAGTAGTGGCCCTGTTTTTGTTTCCCATGACCTGTTTCTATTGGGCCCATCTGAAACCGAAAGGTAGGAGATCCGGTTTTTACAGTTTTTTTTTCTAAAAAGAATCTCTCCCAATCCAGGTCCCTATCCAACGCAACGGGAACGAGCCCTGTTAACCTGGGATTTTGTGCACAATCATGTACCCTGGGGCCTGGTGTTTCTACTGGGTAAGTAGTGGGTAACGGTTACCGGTTACCCGAATTGAACCGTTTATTTTTCAAGGGATTATTTGAGGTTTCTTTACCATTTTAATAACAAATTTTACGAAATTTTTAATATAAACCGGTTATTCGGTTTTGTGAACAGGTTATTCGGTCTTGGGAACCGGTTACCCGGTTCTTTATAGTCCATAATAATGCAGAGAAATATTTTTCATTGAGGTGTAGTAACCATTTTCTTAATAAATTGTCTCAAAATGTTTAAAAAAACCAATTATTCGGTTTTCTGGAACCGGTTACCCGTTTATTTAAAGTCCTTTATAAACAAAAATATCTGTTGTTGGAAAAAAAACGAGAAAAAATAAAAGTCGTCAAAAAATTAACTATGTGGAGTATTTAGAACCGGTTACCCGTGTTATTTAGAATCGGTTACCCGGTTATTTAATATTAGAACACTCGGCTATACAAATAAAAATGAATTAGAAGTTGATAATGTAATAGCTAAAAATACATTGATTAAAATCTATTAGAAAATTTATGGTTACTTAATATTTCTGGAACCGGTTATCGATTACTTTTTGGGAATTTTTGGTATTTTATGAAAATAAAAAAATTTTTTAGACATTCCATTGAATAATAGAAAGATTTTTTTTTCAAAATTAATATGTTCACTAAATATTTATTGAACCGGTTATCGATTACTTTTCGACAATTTCAATACTTTTGAGAAAAAATTGTGTAAATAATTATACTCACGTCTTAAATACAAAAATTATTTAAATCAAATCTACTTTATATTACTTTTTACCATAAAAACCCGGTTATCTAATATTGTGAACCGAGTAACCATTATTTAATAACCGGTTTTAGACTCCAAAAATTATTTTTTTTTTTGTGTAAAATGAAATGATATAAATATTTTTCCCCAAAATCGATTAAAAAATCGGGATTACTTAAATTTATTTGAACCGGTTATCGGTTACTTTTTGCAAATTTTCATATTTTAGGAATATAAAGCATACAAGAAATACTTAAAACTCTTGTAGAATATTTTCCATAATAAAAAAATGCAATAAAATCGATTCCACATTACTTTGAGTACCGGTTACCAAATACCCAAAACCGGGTATTTAGTTAAAAATGTTAAAAATCGCTAAGGAAATGATTCGGAGAACAATTTAAGGCATAACTAATCAATAAATATTTTATTTTGTGTGGAAAAAAGTATGGTTACTCGTTACGGAACCGGTTATCAAAATTCCAAAAATTTGAATATTCTCAAAATTTCTACTGACATTTTGCAGGTGGTGGCTTTGCTTTAGCCGATGCCAGTCAAGAAAGTGGTATGGCCAAGCTATTGGGTGAGGCAATGTCCGGTTTGGTATCCTGGCCGGATTTTGCCATACAAGTTGCGGCGGTTTCATCGGGTATTTTTCTCACCAATTTCAGTGCCAATGTGCCGATATGTAATATACTGATACCCATACTGCAGGAACTGGTAAGTATCATGAGGCTCTAAAGACCTATTTCAGTTGTTCTAACTCTCCCCCAGGCCGTTGCGATAAAAATGAATCCGATTATGTTGGTATTTCCGGCGGGTATAGCTACCAGTATGGCATTCCACCTGCCGGTGGGTACCCCACCAAATGCCATTGTGGCCGGTTATGCTGGGATCAAAAGTAAATATATGGTAGGTATGATGATTTTTTAAAACCGTCGAAATAAGTTCGTCATCCTCTCAAAACCCCTAGGCCGAAGCAGGTATTTTACCCACAATTTTTACCCTCCTAATGCTGCTCGTGAATGTCCAAACAATGCATTATCTAATCTATCCCTCAAGAGAATTTCCCATTTGGGCCAAGGCATATGAATTTTAAATTGAAATTTAAAAAAAATATATATGGTAACTTGCAAATTTTGGAAACGGTTATGGGTTACTCAAATTATATTATAGGATAAAATTCAAAATAACACAGAAATCATTTGAAACAATTGGAATAAATAAATTTGCAACTAAAAACCGGTTTGGTCGAATTTTTTTTTTGAACCGGGGTTTTGAACCAGGTAATCGGTTTAAAGTTATAAGATATGGTGTATTCTTGGATATTTAACAAAACAAAATAATAATTTGTATCTAACAGCTATTAAACATTATGGATATTTGATATTTAAGGAACCGGTTACCGATTACTTTTAGGCAATTATTGTATTTTTGGGGAACAAAAGTATAAAAGAATCATTACAAGTTCTGTAAGATCAAATTGCTTTAAAATAATTCATTTCAAATTATTTTCGGAACCGGTTACCAAAATGAAATCAACGGTTATGGTGTTTAAACGGTAATTTTAGAACGGATTATGGTGAATTTTCAGATATAAAATGAAATAGGTATTAATTTTTAACCCAAAAGCCATTTGAAAAATGTGGTTACTTAGTATTTTTCAAATCGGATATCGATTACTTTTAGGTAAATATGATATTTTTTGGAACCAAAAGTATAAAGAAAAAAAATCCATTTAAGTTACTTTTCGAACCTGTTACCAAAGTTAAATGAGCGGTTCTAGTGTGTAAACGGCTATTTTATAACGGGTTCTGGCAAATTTTTTGATATAAAATAAGAACTAGTTTTTAACCCAAAGTCATATGAAAAATGTTGTTACTTAAAATTTTTGGAACCGGTTACCGATTACTATATTTGAAAATTGCTGAAATGATTACTCACTTTCCTAAACCGGTTATTGGTTATTTTGACGACATGAACCGGGTAACCGTTATTCAGTAACCGTTTATTGAGCATGAAAATGTTTTTTTACTGAGTAAAATTGAATTTTAAACAAAAGTGATTGTTTTATTTTACTAATTTTAGTACCGGTTACCAACTACTTTTTTTAAAAATTGTTTCTTTTCAATTTTTTACCGTATACATTAAAATCTTTACTTTTCTGTTATTTAAACCAAAAGTCTGCTTAATCATTAATAAAAAATTATGGTTACTCATCTTTTAAACCGGTTATTAGTTTTTTTTACAATATGAGCCGGGTAACCGGGTAATTTAGCAATCGTTTATAGAACTTGAAAATGTTTTAATGACTGAAATTTAATTTTAGCCAAAAAGTATTAGTTTTTTTAAACATTTTTGCTACCGGTTACCGAATACTTTTTTTTGAACAATTATAGTTTTTAAAATATTTTTAACTTATGATAGATTAGAAGTCGATAAAATTAAATTTTAACTAAAAGTTATAGCGATTACTTGTAATTTTATGGAACCGGTTACCGATTACCAAATATTTAAAAATCTTTTTCCCCATTTTTTTAATTTTGTATTTTTAATAATAATTTTTAAATCGAGAAATAATTCATTTTTTACCCTGGAACTTATCTATTTGCAATTTTATGTAACCGGTTACCGATTACCAATTTTTTAAAAATCGATTTTTTTTCTTATGTTTTGAATAATGATTTGAAAATCTCGGAATAATTACTTTTTTAAACCTTAACCTTAACTTTTGGCAATTTTATGGAACCGGTTACCGATTACCAAATTTTAAAAATGAATTTTCCCCATTTTTAATATTGTTTTATAATAATAATATTTAAATCTCAAAATAATTACTTTCGTCACCCTCGACGTTACCTTTTGGCAATTTTATGAAACCGGTTACCGATTACCAAATTTTTAAAAATCGATTTCTCCAAATTTTTATAATTTTGTATTTTTATTATTGATTTTTATATCGAAAAATAATTACTTTATACACTTTTTGACAATTTTTTGGAACCGGTTACCGATTACCAAATTTCTAAAAATCAAATTTTCCCCATTATTTTAATTTTGTATGTTTAATAATGATTTTAAAATCTCGAAACAAATATTTTCTGTTCACCCTTGACCTTACCTAAGCTATGGATGTTGTTCGGAACTCCCTTTAAATATTTAATGAAAAAAAAATGGTTTTCAAAACTTCCCCAAAAAAATTATTTTTGAAAGGGATGGGTGGGTGGTGCTTACTGACCATTTGAAACCTAATACGTTGTTTAGATACTTCCTTATTTCCTAACACACACCCCCACCACCACGGAATTTCATTCATTAATTTTTGTGTCCGGTTTTTTTTTCTTCCATTATTTCTGTCTTAACTTTTAAATTAGACAGCTCGTGTAGGATATCTTGTTTTTTTTTTTTTGGTTCGGCTTATAAATATATAGTATATATATTTATGTATATATACCCATTAGGATTGGTGGCGTCACACGTTTTGTGTGTTTTGTGAAAAGAAGTTCGGGAAAGGAAAAAAATGTGTATGTATTTTTTTTATTGACCCCCCTTCTTCGTTTGGCCCCAATTTGTAGAAAAAAAACAAATTAAATTTACTATTTACTCTGCTTGGGAAAGAGTGTTTCTATGCTTCTTACAATGGGCTCTCAGTCACAAACTCTCTCTCACTCTCTTTTTGAGACTCTCAAACCACAAAATGTATGCCACAGTTATTTCCTGCTATCTCCCATCAGTGATAACTGGCATTTGAACCCATTATTTTTGGGTTTATTCACCATTACAATACTCTCTCGATAGTACCTCTCTGCTCTCTGTCATTAGTCTCGCCATTTACTTTCCTCATTGTGTCGTGAGTGTCAATGTACCGTAATGCTATGCTATAGAGTGTGGTGAATTTCTTGCCACAGACATGTCACAGACAAAAATACAGTTACTCTCTCACATATATACACTTTCTCTCTCTCCCGCTCTCTTCATAATTCTCTGATTGTGTGCAGCTGAAAAAGAAATCCATACCTTATCTTGCTTCTCCTTACCCAACAAACCAACCCACGTAGCAAAAAAAAAAATGGAATGTGGGATTTTTTTGCCAGCCTTTCTTTCCTTTGAATTTCAATCCCTTTCCAAAAAAGGATATTTTTAGAATATATATTTTTTTTCTTCTACAAAACAACCAACAACAAAATATTTTTATTTTTCTTGGAATTTGATTCGAAGAAGAAAGCATGAACCATGACGAAAACAGAAACTTTGGCCGGAATAACAAGGAACGGGGTAAATATTAAATGAAATGGACAACAAGGAAGGAGTTCGGTGGAGTATGAAAGAAAAGTTAACCGGTTTTTTTCGGGGGACTTCGAAGTGGTGGTATGAGTCAAACATAATTGTGGATATGACATTTTGGATTTCAATTTTTTTCTTAAAGGCCAATTTGTGACTCAAGAAATATGCAAAGGATATGGTCATGATTTAAAGGGGTATAAATTAGAAAAAAAAAACAGGAAAAAAATTATCAAAATCGAAATCGACCATTTGGGCGCCACAACTTTAGTCTCTCAATTTAATTTGGACCTTTCTGGGACATTTGAAATTTACGACTTGCCATCGAAGAAAATTATAAAAATTAAAATTAAAAAGTAGGCGGGTTCAATAATCCGTTTCTTTGGTAGGGTTACAAATAAATTATCTAAGGTCCATGTGACGTATACGCAACGTCGTTAGTTATACGTAATAAAATTATGTTCCTATATTTTTTCGAAGCGATAATTTGGGCGCCACTTTATTCAATCTTCAAATTCATTTGGACCCAAATTTTACAGGCGATTTTTGGGGCTTGGATTAAAGGCCTTATATATATTCAAAATATTGGGAACAATTGAATCAAAATTATTGGAACCCACTAAGAGATTTATGCGCCACTTATGCAATAAAATTTCCAAATTTTTTTTCGAAGTGATTATTTGGGCGCCGTTTATATTAACTCTTCAATTTCATTTGGAGCTTGGAATATAGGCTTAATATATATTCAAATTTAAAAATTAAGGGTTCAATAAATCGTTTATTTTTTTGCAAAGAATTTGTCACAGATCCATGTGACGTCTACGTAATGCCGTTACTTATACGTCATAAAAATTATTTTTCGATCTCGTTTTCGCCGACATGAGCAAAATATTGCAAACCAAATTTTTGAAAGCCACCAAAGAAGAGGAATCGACCATTTGGGCGCCACAACATTTAATTTTTAATTTCATTCTGACAATTCATGAACAATTGGAATTTGCCGCATGCAATATTTTTGTTAGTGTTGCAAACAACACTGAAGCATATCTACGATTCATCACAAATGCCCATGAGTGGTATGCGTAACGTCGTTACTTATACGTAACAGAATTATTTGTCAATATTTTTTCGCAGCATTTTTCAAGAAGAATTTTTTCCGGGCCTCAAGAAGCGTGACTTCTTTAAAAGAATATTTTCTAAGAAGTTCCCTAGAATATTTTTCCAGCGATCTCTTCTCAAAAAACTGATATTTTAACAAGCATATTTCTTCCCTGAGACCACCCAGGTTTACTTTTTTGGGGGAATTACTGCTGGCACCTCCCAGCTTTCATTTATTTTAAGTAAAATTCTTTCCAATGAACCTCAGGTGTTGCTTTTCTAATGTCCTTTCCTCAGAAAGCTTGGATTTTTTCTATTTCGCGTAGTCACAAAGTAATTATCAAAGGCCCATTGGACGTATACGTAGTGTCGTTACTTATACGCCACCATACAATTATTTTTCAATATTTTATAGCGACACCATCAAATGAAAAATTTGGCAATGAATATTTATTCGGGCCTCAAGAAACGGGATTTTTTTAAAGACATATTTTTTCCAAGGACTTCCCAGGAATATTTTTTCTCTGAGATCTTAATTGAGATCATCAACAAACTGGTATTTAAAAAAAAAAATGTTATTGCCAGTATTAAATGCCTTGACATTTTATAAGTATATTTTTCGGGAACCACAATGCGTGATTTTTTTCAGGTTTTTCTCAGGGTTTTTTACGGAGTCACAAACAAGATTTTTTAAGGAATATTTTTTTCTAAAGACTTCTT